ACACAAAGAAATAATTAATGCTAAGATGATGGATACCCCATTTACCCTGATGTGATTATTACACACTATATGCTTGTATCAAAATATCTCACGTATCCCTAAATATATACATGTACTATGTACCCATAAAAACTAAAAATTTTTAGAAATGTGATACGGTATGTTTTGTTTATTAGGACAAATTCCTTCCCCTTTTACTGAGCTTTCCTACCCAAAACCCCATTCCTTTTCAAAAGTAGTTTTGCCTAACCTTGTGCATTTTCTTGTCCAGATGAATTATGGAATCAGCTTGTCGAGTTTTATTTAAAACAATGTATATTTTGGAAATTTCAATTCAGATTTCCTTGAATTTATAGGTGACTTTTAAAAACAGCACACTTATAACATGTAATTCTCCCATTTGGGTATATTTACCCTTTCATATTCTTTAGCTTTTACTGTCTTCTTAGTGTAAGTGGCCTGTTCACACATTTCTTGTTAAAATGATTCCTGGAAGGTTATGATTCTTAATAAAACATCCTTTTCTTCATGTCATTTACTGCTTAATGCTGGTTTACAGAAAGGGTATTTTTTTTTTCCAACAAAATTCTTCTAAAGAAATGTTTTCTCACTGATTATCATGTATTGCCAAATTGACAATCATACTGTCTACAGATTTTGACAATTTTTTCAATTTCTTCCCGATACTTAAAAATTTCATTCCTTTTTTTTTCTTAGTATATTAGGACCTGCAGAGCAAGGTGTAACAGTAGTAGTAAAGATAGGCATCTTCATCTTGTTCCTAAGTCTAACAGAAAGGTGTCTAGTATTGTCCTACTATTATAATGCTTAAGTTTGTCATCAGATACAACCTTATGACATTAAGGGCATTCCATTCTAAGGTGGCAATGAGTCCCCCACTTTTATAAGGAATGAGGACTGACTTGTATCAAATACTTTTTGTTCATCTGTACAGATCAAATGGTTTTCTCCTTAAAATGGTGACTAGCAATTAGGCAACTGCTTATTTTTACAATTATTACAATATCTTAATAATTAAGATCTTTTCAAAAAGTTTTCCTATGCTGATCCTTCTTTGTATTCTATGGATAAATCCTTTTTGAACACAGTGCATTATTCTTTCAATACACTACTGAAAATGACTTGCTAATATTGAGATTTATACTTTCAGTATATTACTTAGGATCTAAGGAGCAAGGCAGAATGATGAACAACCTTCAGCTTTCTCTTTTGTATTTTCCTTGCTCAGTTTTAGCAAAAAAGTTATGCTAGCCTCAGATATTTCCTGTGAGCAGTACATCTACTTTGCTTTCTGAGTTCAAAGTTCGCTAAACAGCCTTCAATTTTAACTTGCTAACTGTGTTATTCAAATTTTCTGTATCCCCCTTTTCAATTGTCTGGTTAATCAATAAATTTGTAAGGGATTTCCATGATTCCAGAGTTGTCTACTTTCCTTTGTACTTTCATTTTCCTTTTCATATTGTGAAGTTATGTCACTAATGATTGCTATAAATTATTGAAGATCAAATATTACTGTTAAGTTTTCTATTTAAATTCTGACATTAATAGTGCTATTGTACATAGTTTTTAAATTTCAGACTCATTCTCATAAAATAAAAAATAAAGAACATTAAGAAAAATATGTATTAATAGTTCTTATCCATACCTCTTTCAAAAACCCACTGCTAATTACTAAAGTCCAAGGCACAGACTACCACTGTACGTATTTCCTATTTTTAGCTGTTCTAAATCACAATAAACTTACCTTTATCCATTCAAAAAACATGAAAAGAAAAAACCTCAGCAGCAGCCTGACTACTACAGATTAAATATGACACTACAAATTAATGCCAACTGTTGTAGCCAGCTTCTATGACAGTGTGTAATAATCCTGGTATATGTTAATCTTGTGTGGTCCTCTCACTCTATCAGGGCTAACTTGGGCAACCAAGAAAATGAGACGTGACACTAGGTGTCTTCCAGGGAAAGATAAAAAAGGCACTGCAGGTTCTGCCTGGGTCTTCTGGATTGCTCGCTCTTGGGAAAACCAGCCACCAAGATTTGAGGACAAACAGCTACACAAAAAGGCCCATGTGGAGAGAAACTAAGGCCGCTTAACAACATCCAGAACAAAGTTGCCAGCCATGTGAACCACCTTGGAAGCGTATTCTCCAGCTCCAGTCAAACCGTTAGATGACCAAAACCCCAGACAACATCTAAATGCAACCTCATGAACCCCAAGCCAGAACTACCCAACTGAGTATCTTCTGAATCCCTAACCCACAGAAACCATGAGAGATAATACATTGTTAGTGGTTGTTTTAAATCACTAACTTTTGAGATTTGTCATGTGGCATTAAATAATACACCATCTTACTGAACTCAGAGAATATTCAAAAATAAAAGTTCACCTTCCTTTAAATTATTATAATAAAATACTTTTAACTATCTCCACTAATTTGTGGAGGTGATTTCTGTAAAAAAGTGGCTAATAAAACATAAGCAATGGACTGTAGAGAAACACACGATGTGAGCAAAGATGCATTTCTCATGCCTTCTCACAATGCCCCAGATTTGAGGTGTCAGCAGCCAGTAGGCTTTGGAGCCATACGCATGGCATCCTATATACACAACAATCAGTTTCTGCTTTGTGACTTAGCTAAAGTTGGAAAACTTAGAGAGATTTTCTACTTAATTTTAACTTTCCATCTAATAACTGCTCATTAGCATCAATGATCCCAAGTCAGATGGGAAAGAGAAAAGCTTGAACCACTAAAATTTCCAACAATTCCGATAACAGCTTTAAAAAATGAATTTGTATTTTTGATTATCTCATTATTTTTTTTTACCAGTTCTTTATAAGCCAGGACTCTGAAAACCAACTCTTGCATTTACCAAGTAGCTAATTTGGTTTAAAATATATTATCCATTAAGAGCTGCAGATTAAAAAATGACTACACAAACACATCTGTTAGAGATAATTTAATTCCACCTCTGTTTGAAAAGCCTAGGTTTGAATAAGGTACTCAATGCTTGCTTAATCAATATTCTTGGGACTCAATCAAATATAACTTGTGCTTGAAAATCAAGGTTATAATAAAATAAAAATAAAAGTAAAAAAAAAAAAAAATCAAGGTTATTCCCTAGGTAAGACTCACATGGAAATACATGAGAAAAACTTCTCAATTTAGCAATTGAGCTATTAAAATACCTAGATTTCAAGCATTCCCTTTAAATATATCACATAAAAATGATGCTCTCTTAATTACACTAATTTCCATACTCTCTCATAAATGGGACACATAAATGGGAGTATGGACGTGAATATTAAATAGGCCTAGAACTTACTCTTGCTCTTAATTTCAAACATACTATTTTTTTTCCTGTGTTCACCTGTATATGACAATTTTCAAAAGTTTTCAATTAAGTAAAAATACGGAATTAATTTTAAGAGTCTTTCAAAATGTTCATTCATTACCTTAAATTTCAACTTAATATGAACCACATGACCTTCATTTTAACCCCAAAACACCCTTTAAATGTACAGGAAATGACTAATTGGATTTAATGTAATCAAATCATATTTTAATTGTGAGAAAAGGAAAAGAAAAAAATAAAAAGCATATTATAACATTAGTTACTCTAATGAAACAACATGGGTGTGAAGAGAAAAATGATTGCACTATCAAGACAGCAAAAAACTGGCATAAAGACAGACACAGAAATCAATGAAACAGATCAGACAGCATAAAAATAGACCCACCCATATATGATCAATTGATTGTTAAATAATGACGACAAGGTAATTCAGTGGGAAAAAACAGTGCCTTCAACAAATGATGCTGGAACCAACAACTGACTGAGTGAGGGGAAATGTATCTTAATCCTTACCTTATACTATATAAAAAAATTAACTTAAAATTCATTGTAGACATAAATGTAAAAGCTAAAATTATAAACTACTGAAAAAATAAAAGTAAATCGCTAAAATTTCAGGGTAGGCAATAATTTCTTAGGACTTAAAGCACGAACTACAAAAAGTAAAGTGATGAACTGGACTTTTTCAGTATTTTAAAACTCTGCTCTTCAAAAGACACTATTAAGAAAATGAAAAGGCAAGCAACAGACTGAAAAAAATACTCACAGCACATATATCTGACGAAGGACTTGTATCCAGAATTTATAAAGGACTTTTATAATGTAGTAAGACAACAACCCAAAAAAGATAAACACTTCACCAAACAAGATATATCAGTGGCATATTAACACATAAAAGATGCTCAACATCATAAAAAAAAAAAAAAGAAAATTAAATCCAAAATGAGACACAATTACACACCAACTAAAGTGGCTCAAAATCTAAAGACTGCGGAGGATGTGGAGCGACTGGACCATCTTGCACTGCTGGCAAATATGAGAACTGGTATAGCTGCATTGGAATACAGTTTGGCAGTTTCTTAAAATGTTAAACACTTAGCTCTACTTATAACAGCCTAAATCCAGTATCAACCCAAATGCCCATCAACAGGTGAACTGACAAAAGGATTAAAGCATACAGACAACATGTATGATTCCATTTACATCAAAGTCTTAAAAAACCAAAACTAATTTATAGTGATATAAAGCAGGTCACTGGCTGTCTGGGGCTCGAGGTGGTAGGAGGGAATGACCTGGCAAGGTGTACAAAGCAATTCTGGAGGTAATGCTCTATATTTTTGGGCAATAGTCTTGTGATGGTAGTTACACAGGTGCACTCATTTAAAACTCATCAAATTGTCTACTTATATAAGATATATTTTATATGAAAATACTTCTATAAATTTAAAAATAATAAAACACAACTCAATAAATGTATGATGTTCATACAGTTCCATGATCCATTTTACACAGTTTTCTCTAAAGGTCTCCAAAGAGACTCTCTAAGGGTTACTCAAATAAGAAACAAGTAAAAAGTGAGTTAGAAACAACACAGTTAAAATGTATATAACCACAATCCATACCTCAAATGTGTATTTTTCTCTATTATTAAAGAGCATTAATATGGTCATCTGGAAAGTGGAAACTTGCAATATGTGCTTCCGTGTATTAGAGCCAGTTACTTGTGCACCTCCAACACCAACTTCAGATCCATCTTCCTGTTTCATTTTTTAAAAAATATAAACAAAGATACAATCATTTCCTGGTAACATTTATGTACCTATGTGTGTACATATGTATGTATGTACATTACAGGGTCTCACTTTGTCATCCAGGCTGCAGTTCAGTGGCGCAAACATGGTTCACTGCAGCTTCAACCTCCTGGGCTCAAGCAATCTTCCTGCCTCAGCCTCCCGAGTAACTAGGACCATGGGTGTGTACTACCATGCCCAGCTAAATTTTTGTATTTCCTGTAGAGACCAAGTTTTGCCATGCTGCCCATGCTGGTCTCAAACTAATGGGCTCCAGTGATTTGCCCACCTCAGACTCACAAAGTGCTGGGATTACAGGCATGAGCCACCACAGCTGACCAATTTCCTGGTAACTTTAACAGCATGTTTCAGAAACAGGTCCCATAATCTCCATCCTCCCCCTCAACAAAAACTATGTAACTTATTTCTATAAAGAAAATCTTTTTTTTTTTTTTAGACAGAGTCTTGCTCTGTCGCCCAGGCTGGAGTGCAGTGGCGTGATCTTGGCTCACTGCAAGCTCCACCTCCTGGGTTCATGCCATTTTCCTGCCTCTCACACCCGGCTAATTTTTTGTATTTTTAGTAGAGATGGGGTTTCACCATGTTAGCATGTTAGCCAGGAGAGTCTCTATCTCCTGACCTCGTGATCCGCCCGTCTCGGCCTCCCAAAGTGCTGGGATTACAGGCGTGAGCCACCGCGCCCGGCCCGGAAATCTACTTTTTAGTAGTAGACCCCCGACCCCCGCCCAACACACACACATTTAGGACTGTCTCCTGTCCCCCCACTGTGAACATTTTAATGTTATCTGAGCAAGTAACTAATCAATTCCCTATATTTAATGCTAAAATTATTTTAACAGTACACTATGGGATGATAATAATAATGGACTTACAAAACATCACTACTGTTATACTACCACCAAAAGTAACAGGATTAGGTTTCTTTCTGTGTGACCTGATCACAGTAAGAGATCAAAAAATATCATAGCATAGCATGGGGCCCAGGGGAGCAAGGGGCAAGCGCCATTCTCAAAGCCTATTCCTGCTTTATGATTTAAGGATACAAATTGGAACTTTCTAATTCTTCAAAAATTAACATATGCATATGTTTTAAAAATCTACTGATCTGCTTAATAAACTTTAAAAGAACATGAGTATTTAGGGAAAGAAAACCTATCTTTTAAAACAAAAGCAGGCAGTAGTAATTAAAAGCTAAGTTCTTTAGTTTCCTTGTCCTTCCCACTTACACTCAAATGTATGTGTCGAATATTATTTAACTAAATGAACTATAAAGTACTATTTCCCATTTCAATTAAATATCAAAATTAGAATGTTTTTATAGGCATTTTCAGCAATACTTAAAAACTGATGTTAACAGTGACTCATCATACCAAACTAGTAAAATTCTCATTAAAATCTAAAACTTATTTGTTGCCTAGATGACAATTTAGGTATATTTCTACAGTTTTTCTAGAAGACTTAGAATTTTTTGATGGCAAATAATCCTGATTCACATCAAGTAATGAAAATAAATTATTCCTCTAAACCTCTCAATCTAGATATAAAAATGTGATTGCTTTTTAAAAGTGAAGGCAAATTACTGGTCCAATACTAATTTTTAAATGACTTTAATAACATTTGTATATTTAACAAACCTTGAATGTTAATCTTCCCAATCTTGATTTATTAGAAATAAAGATTATAGGTAACAGAATTTTGAAAAGGGGCTCACAGCTTTGTATGTCCTGAAATCAACTTACATTTTACTATTTTACGCAATATTTTCTTAAACCTAATTTTATAAATAAAATATGTAATTTTCCTAATGTTTAGTCCTTAGTGACGACTATACTGGTGTAGTCTTCATATTTTCAAAGTTGCAGTTAGCAACTGAGAGAACGTAAGTAATAAAGCTAGGATTTTTAACCTTTCTAACTTGTGAGACAGGCAGAGAAACAGGAGAAATAAATAATTTACCCAGCTCAACATAAATCACAAATCAGCTCTAATAGACTAACTTTAAGTTACATAATATGTTCAAACTATCAGTATTTACCTTTTTAACTGGTCCATAAAATGTGGCATTGAGATCTGCAGAACCCATATGATGCTGGAGCGTGAGCTGTCGACCACTGTGTTTGGCTAAGTAGAACCTTCGGCAAATCAAACCAGGTTTTAGCAAATCAAACAAACTTACACATTTGAAATTACAAACCACAGGATAACATCCCTTAAACATGTGTGTGTGTGTGTGTGTGTGTGTGTGTGTGTGTGTGTGTGTGTGTGTGTATGGACTTTAAAAGTTTAAGGAAACCTTAGGAATCAAGTTCAGGTGCAACTTTCCACAGGAGAGACCTTGAGAGAGCCCTAAGTAACTCAGCTAGATATTAAATGACAAAGGCAGCACACTAAATAATTTCTACTGTACACTCTGGCCCAACCTACTGCTGCTCAGCCCCTGCTGTTCTTAAGACCACCTTTCTCCACAGTAACCCAATAATCAATTTGTCCTAAGCCAGTAGTAGACATCGACAGTACAAAATACACTCCTATACCACAGTACAAAAAATACTCAATGCACTAATGCTGAACAAAGGGCATTTATAAAATATTCCTCTGAGAAAAGTTTATGTAACTTTTTCTTACATATTAAAATTATAAAGGATAAACTCTCCCTTTGTTTTTGTTGTTCAGAACTGGTACTTTTTCTTGAATTTTTATATTTATGTTTTTTTGTCACTATCCACACTGTATTTTTTCAAAGCCTGAGCCACTCTGTGGTTCTTGCCCCAGTATAACCACCATCCCTTCACTCTTAGAATTCCTTTTCCCTTGTCGTTTTCCCCTTCTACAGTTTGTAAAAAATGAGGACTTTGGGGAGGGAAAAAACCCGACATTTCTGTGAATTCAAGAGACTATAAGCAGTGCCTAAACCAGTGGGATTAGGCAAGTAAAACTAGTTGGACAGCAGATATTTTGTGAACTCTTGCAACAGGGTGTATCTGTGTGCATGTCTAAAGGGTTATACTGATTCACTATTACAATAAGGATGATGCAGTTGACCAGGGTGAAGCAGGACTGTCCACAGGATTATGTGAATTGTGGTGGTGGAGACAGTATACAAGATTCATGGATTAAACACCTAGCTGCTTTCCCGGAAAATCGTGTATGTTCTAAAAGACAAATCTAGTTTTTATTTTTTTAATTTATGAAGCTACAAGTCAGTAATATGCTAGTGCTTCTGGTTCAAAATGAAAGCAACTGGCTATGGTAATGTAGAGAAGACAGCTGGGATAGCACCAGAATGTTTGAGGCTTTTTAAGTTAAAATCTTAGTTACCTTGCCTTACAAAGATACATGTCAATATGCTGAATACTCAAAGATCCAGGATATGCGCTACTTAAAAATATATTATCTCCTGGATCAGCACCAAAAATATCTTTAGTTTCTGTACAACCTATGTCAAGTTTTTAAGTATAGGCAAGTCGAAATTATTTCTGATGAAAGTCACAAACTCCACAGAAATCATTCAAGAAGATATAGTCAAACAACTTTCAAATACATTTTGACATCAAGGTCAGGCAATTCACCTGGAAGAACATCTTAATGAGTACCAATGAATTTTTTGTAGTAAGATGTTTGATGTCAACCTTTTATTATGGGAATATTTTACATCCCACACAAAGAAGGCACTGGTACTTGGAAACTTAAGACAATTGCTAGAATCATTAAGATTAAGGTGAAGAATTTGTACAGTGCCTTCCACGATTTCAAAGAGGTCGTGACAGACACTTGTCCTCCTGACAATATCAAATGCAGTTTCTTCCCAGTTGTTTTTTCAGATCTGGTTCGAGATTAACAGCTCACGAGCAGATGTTCTAGAGTATCTCTGTTGTCTCTGATTCCAGCAGCAAGATTCAAGGGGGTCAGGAGGCCTTTTGTTTGGTCACTGGTAACTGATCTACACCATGCTGAAGAAATAAAGAAGCCACTCTGGTATTATTCCACTTATAAGCACCTTGCAGGAGTATCTAGCTATCCACAGTCACTGCAAAAACATCTGCCCCTTGCGCAATCAGCTCACAGACAATGTCTAAGTGTCCACCTTAGGCTGCTCGATGAAGGGGGTGATATACTCATCTTCATCCCTAGTGTTCACACGAGTGGTCTTTTCACAAAGTAGTCTCCACACTGGGTAAATCAATTATTTTCAGCAGCCCAAAAAAGATATTTGCTTGGATCTTTTTCTGTTTTTTTCTTGCATATCACTCTTGTTTTTTTCATCTTGCTCCTCTTCCTCATCAAAACTGCTATCTCAGAGCCTCTGAGTACTAGTGGGAATAAGGTATCCACATATTTCCAACAATGCAAATTGGCTGAAGTGTTCAGAAAGTTCAAGGAATTCTCTGGGTCTGGTTTTCCATCATCATTTACTTTCTCTTTTTCCATTTTCACTACTGCTCTAAATAAAAGGCATTTCAAATGCCAGCATATAAACAATCTTTCTAGAGATAAATTATGCCTGCTTTACTTTATTCATCAAGATCCTATAGAGGGGGAAATTGCTGCATGCCAGGATAAATGTTCCTTTTGAACATGAGGTAATAAATGGAATACATTCATCCTCAATTATGGATATTAATGTTCGAATTCATTTTAATTTTGAACACTTATTTGTACATAGTAATACAAAGTCTGATTTTGATTTACCTTCTGAATATCTCAAAAGCGTGTCTTGGTGCTGGTGGGATGTTGCACTTTGGTGTGGCTGACTGAGTGGGCCAATATCCTGTCGTGAGCACCCGGACTGTAAGATCAACACCACCTAAAGATACCTATGTAAAACAGAAAGAGATAGTCCCCTCAAAATTAACTAGGATTTGCTTTCTGTTCTGTTAAGACATTGTGTTAGATTTACTGAAGCAGTTAGTTAGCTCCATGTCTAGTATCTAACAAAAAACCATTTTCTTTTTTTTTTTTTTTTTTTTTTGAGACGGAGTCTCGCTCGTTGCCCAGGCTACAGTGCAATGGCACGATCTCGGCTCACTACAACCTCTGCCTCCCAGGTTCAGGCGATTCTCCTGCCTCCCGAGTAGCTGGGATTACAGGCATGCCCACCACGCCTGGCTAATTTTGTATTTTTAATAGAGACGGGGTTTCTCCATGTTGGTCAGGCTGGTCTCGAACTCCTGACCTCAGGTGATCTGCCCGCCTCGGCCTCCCAAAGTGCTGGGAATACAGGCATGAGCCATCACGCCCGGCAAAAAAACAGATTTTCTTAAATGTCAGACCCACCCAGTGTTTCCCGAATTTTAACTGCTATGGCAAATAGTTATAATTATTGCTTATGATGTTAATTTAAAAACACTGACCAAAGAATAGTTTTTGGCACATGAATCAAGTCTTACTGTTATCACTGAGAACAGAAAAGTTTGGGCCTTTTCAAATAAAAAGTCAAGGGGGTCAATTATATCATTTTAGAGAAAATTCTAGCATAATATCCTTCATCTCAGTTTTAAAATATTTTTGCCATCTTAACACATATTTCTAATATTCCAGCAACTATTTCAACTAAAGTAACTAAAACTTTTGTGTTTTAACATGTAGCTCACATTCCAACAACCTCTGCATAGGACCCTATAGACCCAGTGCTACAAAGCAGGTGCTCTACAAATATCTGTACAATGAATAACTACTTCTAAGCTAGTATCACTGTCACAATTATTTTCTTCTTTTAAACAAATTTTTAAGTAAACAACGAAGCACAACAAAAACTCTTAAAGATTAAATATTATCTTTATTATTGATACTCAATGTGTTATAAATCATCATTTCATTTTTATCTTGCCTCAATGATTTAGTAATATAAATTTTTAAGGGCAGGAATCAGAGTTTATGAATATCAAGAAGCATTCTACACTCATATTTCTTCACAAGTATCCACTAAATTATTACTTTAAGGAAACTGGAAATAAAAAACTTAGATGACGCAGAGAAGAGAGGATCATAGAAGAGACTCTTACATGGTATACTGGGGGAAGTGGAGAACTGTTTATACATTTGCAAGTTGGTTAGGGGAAGGGAGGGTAACAGTGGTCAGTCCATTCAACCCACATCAATATGCATGGGATCTACCCCAATCATCCCTATAGCTTTCAATGTGTAAGATTAGTGGAAGAAAAAAATTTAAAAACTTACTATAGCAAACAAAAAATACAAGAAAATATATCAATATATTAGATTTAACTACACATTCCTAAACAATCTAAAAAAAAAAAAAAACAAAATCCAGGATAATTGCACTACTCATTTCCTGTCCACCTGAAATTTGTCACGGACTTGCATCTTTCCTCCTCTCAGCTCTTCTCAACTGTAAACACTGATATTTATAAAGCAAATCATACAACTATTTACATTAAAGTCAGAATGTTTTCACAGAAATAAATGGTTATTCTACAGAATTAAGTATTTTCACATATCTGGTTTGTGAGCCTATGAAACCAGTAGAAGTGATGATCTCATATTCAGATATCAAAGGAAAGACCCACAAATCTGTTAAACGGTTGTGACGCATTTTAATTATAGAGTGGTACTTGGTGATTTAAAAAAATTAAAAACTGTACTATTTCCTAACTTAAGATTAAGTTGAAAATCAGAGTAAAAAAATGAAACTAAATTCTGAATTTCATTAAATGCTCACAAAATGTCCATCAGACTCCAAAGCCATAGAAGTTCCAGCTCACCACCTTTGAGGAGTTATACCAAACACATTTATAATACATTAATTTCTATGTTTTTATAGTCTCAGTTCACCTGCTACGCACGCTTAGGATATAAGGCCCATTTAAGCTAAACTGACAGAGGAGAATGACAGTAGTGAGGTATAGGAAGGTCAGGTGACTATCCCAAGATGACACAATCTTGGGGTAAAGTGAAAAGAATAATACTGAAACTTAGTAAACTTGTGTAAGCCCAGTACTCTTTCCACAATTTGTAACAGATTTGTATTATCTTTATTAACAACAGAATAATTCTCTTTATTAAATTGTCAGTGTATTCCTTCAAGTGGGAAGAAGAAACTAAATTTTAAAAGAATAAAAAATTTTAACATGAACATAGAAAAAGAGGTAATGTGAAGGAAAATAATTTAAGTACAGACAAAACACATGTTGTCACTAATGACATTTAAAGAAACAACTGTCATCTGCTAAGTGGATGAAAACGCCCATTACAAAAGACTTTACATGAATATCTAAGTAGATATTAATGCAGAATCTTACACCAGTTGCCTGTAGATGTTGCCTGAATTCATCCATCGTTGTGTTTGAGATGCTCATATCCCTAAACATTCCTTCCAGTTTTGACGTGAACTGACATCCACATTCAGTCTGTGGAGGAAAAACACAAATTTACACAAATAAATGGTAGATTTTTCTGTGAGGAAGTATTGAAAGAAAGAAACTATTTCATGTTATTGCTATCCCTGATAATCTTCTTGTAAATTTTTCCAGTAGTTGCTCTATGCCTGTGGTTAGCAAACTTCAGGATTTTAAAACGCAAATTCTCAGATTCTTTCAGAGAGTCCAACTTACGCCCTGAAAGGTAGGGCCCAGAACTCTGTTTTTAACTAGCATCTCAGGTGATTCGGGTGCAAGTATTCTATGGACCACATTATGCGAAAAAGAACTACATGGCAAAAGCCTCTTTGTTTCCCTTTTACTAATCTTCCCCTCCAGGCCTCCATGAATGTATCCTGACACACCAACAGAAATTCTAGCAAACTATGAACGTCCCTGAACTTGAACAAATGTTAGTGTAGTCTGTGTTCTTCTCTAAAACAATCTACCTTTATTTCTAGAAATAAACACTTAATAATCAACCAAATAATTTCTAATCACATGTTGTCAGTACACAACCATGATAAACATCAGTTAGGTGCACTCTATTCCATCTAAAACATACCTTACCTTTAACTTAGATATCATGTTTTTTTCAGAGTCATCAGAAACACTTTTATTTGTGAGAAGTCTCCTTGCCAAGTGTTGTTTATAATAACGTTCAAATACATCTTTTTCTTGCATAAACCTAAAAAGGACCATTGCTTTATCCAATATTGTTTCTACTTCCTGCTCTGTTAGCTGCAAAATGAAGATGATTTAACAATTACACAATGTTAGTTCTACAAAAGTAGTACTACAGTTCACTTACAGCTTAAAAACAATATTGTTTGAAAACACAGGTATCTGATTGACATACATCAGAAAAAGGGACATGGTTTGATGAGGGTCTCCTACTTCACATAGTAGCATCATTCTTACATTCTCATTTAGTGCATCATGAATGAGGGGTTGGAGTGAATTCTATTCCATAGAGGGCTACCACTGAATTGGAGGCATAAGGTAATATAGCGCTGGGTTAAGGGATGACTGAGAACAGATGAAATGAAATTTTAGTCACAGAGATTATTTTATGAAGGCTTTGCATATGCAGGCAAAAACTTACACAGCCAAAAGATGGAATTTTTCATTTAAGCTCACAGCCTAAATTGTGCAAACACAAGGCAATAATTTGTTATAATCCAAACAGTAAAAAGGCCATTGCCCTTACTTTATTTTTTTATTTCTATTTTGTTTTTTTTTTTTTTTTTTGAGATGGGAGTTTCACGCCTGTTGCCCAGGCTGGAGTGCAATGGCACCATCTTGGCTCACTGCAAACTCTGCCTCCCGGGTTCAAGCTATTCTCCTGCCTCAGTCTCCTGAGTAGCTGGGATTACAGGCATGCACCACTACGCCCAGCTAATTTTGTATTTTTAGTAGAGACAGGGTTTCTCCATGTTGGTCAGGCTCGTCTCGAACTCCCGACGTCAGGTGATCCGCCTGCCTCGGCCTCCCAAAGTGCTGGGATTACAAGCGTGAATCACTGCGCCCGGCTGCCCTTACTTTTAATAAGGGCAAAAGGATTCTGTGACAGGTTGTATTAATATATTTAGAAAAATGGAAGACTAAATGAATGAGTAAATTAATAGACTTTTCTATTCTGTGCATCCTTAGTGATTCTGTTTCCTTATTGCAGCTACTGCCTGTAAAACCTGTGACAACATGTTGCTTTTCCCTTTGGTGTCACAAATTCCAACACGAAGTCAGGAGAGACCAATTCAGATGTGAGCAAAACATGCTTCAGTTAATTTTCCATGCTGTCGTGAGCTCCCCAGGTTCCAGAGATATCATATATCATAAAGTCTTGAAATTAAGCTACACTAACTATTTTCTAAGATGTACTCTATCTATGCCTTAACATTCTTGGCATCCAATTACTGTTTGACACACAACCTCCAGAACCAGATGAGAGCAAACAACACTCTGTACTACTAGAAAGTTTTCTAGTTCTTTATTTTCAACATGCCTAACTCTCAGTCACAAAAATGACTGTTTAAAACCAACTACAGCTGTGTAGTTGTTCAGGGTTTTTTTTTTTTTTGAGACGGAGTTTCACTATTGTTGTCTAGGCTGGAGTGCAATGGCGCCATCTCGGCTCATTGCAGCCTCAGCCTCCCGAGTACCTGGGATTACAGGCATGCCCAGCTAATTTTGTATTTTTAGTAGAGACGGGGTTTCACCAAGTTGGTCAGGCTGGTCTCGAACTCCCAAACTCAGGTGATCTGCCCACCTTGGCCTCACAAAGTGCTGGGATTACAGGCATGAGCCACCACACCTGGACGGCTGTTCAGTTTTTTTGAGACAAGGTCTTGCTCTGTTGCCCAGGGTGGAGTGCAGTCGTGCGATCATACCTCACTGCAGCCTTGAATTCTTGAGCTCAAGTGATCCTCTGTCTCAGCCTCTGAGACAACAGGTGTATACCACTATGTGCCACTAATTTTTTTCTTTTTTGTAGAGATGGAGTCTCACTATGTTAACAAGGCTAATTTCAAACTCCTGGCCTCAAGATAGCCTCCTGTCTTGGCCTCCCCAAATGCTGGGATTACAGGCATGAGCCACCAAGCCCATCCAGTTGCTTGTTTTTGAAGCCAATTACACATTAAGTGAAATGTCTAACTACTTTTGAGCATGTCAAGTATTTCAAACTATTTTTTAATACACCATGGCACACATTTAAGCACAGCAATGGGTCATGCTTAATTTTTATCTGTGAAATGTCCTAATTTTACATATAATTTTGTATCTTTAAATAAAATTAAATATTATTTTCAAATGCATTACTACTTACCCCTTTGACTCCCTTTTTCAGCTTATCATCAATAAATAATGAGAGGTATTCAGGAGACCTGGAGTTGAGGTTGAGAAAATACTCAAAGTCACCCGCAATAGTTTGTTTAAAGAGCCGGTCATTGTTGAATGATTCCAGGAGGAAGCGATCGAACCTACTCTTCAGATCCAATAAACCCTTAGAAATAAAAACAAAATTTAGGACACATTATAATAATTTTTCCATAAATAATACACGTATGACCATGTATGTTTATCTTAACTTTGCTGGTAATAAACATGTATATTCATTTTTAAACTTACAGCTTTGATATTATTTAAGCCTATATCTAAGCCTCTATTAAAAATGTCAATGAGAGAGGTATTATAACTTCCATATATGTATTAACACAATGCAAACGAACCAAAGAACCTCCTCACTGCTTCTCATTCTCCTGTCTTCATGGAATGGGTTAGCCAGGGAAAAAATTAGCTTAAAAAATGTACCAAAAAAGCTGATTATATTAAAACACAAAAACACGGCATATAATTTATTCACAGTACTGCTTGAAAACAAAACGTTTTCAAACAAAAAATAAACAGTTGTTTATTCCAATATACTACAGTATAGAAACACTAAGGCATACCAAAGAACCTCACATTCGCTATTGAGACTATTTAAACAAGATCTTCATCAGAGAAGTTAAATGAAAAGTAGCAGTTGAATTTTAGCTCCCTGATGTAAATATGCGCACCTTGCAAAATCCTAAAATACTTAGGATAATTACAACTATTAATTTACGACTGGGACAATTAAGTTGAAAATACATTTTAGCACTTGTCAAATTGCCTTTATTATAAATGTAGAGCATCTTCTGGGTTTACTTACCTGGATATAGTCAACGGGATTCTTTCCTTCTCCTTCTTCAGAAACAAGAGCTTTACCTTGCTCCCTCAAATAGGAACTCATACACTCACACATTGTTTTCAAACCATTTGGCACACGACTAAATAACTTGTACATGCAACCAAGATCTACAAATCAGAAAACACAAATTCGCTACATTAAAGAAAAAAACACGAATCTGTGTTCACGCTATAATACTTAGAGAAGCTTATTTCTCCATTACCCCCATTTACTGACCGCATGAATATTAAAAATATACATGTATCAAAATGAAAACATGAAAAAGTAGGCTAGTTAATGGTTATTACTGTAATTTATAAAACACAACTTTTAGACGAGATGCTTTGAAAGTATCAATTAAATGTCCTAGCAAATTTAAATTTACATGGAAGAAGAGATGCCAAAACCCGTAACAAACAATGTCACAAAAACATGGCAACTGCAGTTTTGAGTTCATAAATACTTTATCCTACATAACTCTAATGCAGACCTAATGACACTACAAAACATCTACAAAAAGGGTCACTAAGTAAGATATAATTGATAGTCCCTGTAATGAGGAAGAAATTTTAAAACCAATTTAAGTCTTGTGGGTATTTTCAAAGGTTTAACTGATAATCATGAAAACAAATCAAATGAACTATACTAAGATTTACTTCATTACACCTCAGGTAAAGTTTTTATGAAATGTATAATATAAACACCACTTCTTAAATATTCTTCAGAGCAATCCCTAATGTTTCCCAGGTGGCATCCTAAGCCAGTATCTGTACTTCAAAATTTGGTCCCTCTCACTACACTTTTTAAATTTAGAATGAAAACTCTGGATCCTATCCATTTTTCAATATCATTTTTCACAAGACTAAAATATAGATTTTAAAATACAGTTTTCCCATATGTCTAGTGTTTCTTTATAATAACAACTTACTGGAAGAACACAGTGTCAGAACTTTACAATGATAATTTTAAAAGTTTTACAATCAATAACTTTTTAAAATGGAGTTAGAGTTTCTAGATCAGAGGCTGACCAATGTTTTTTCTGTAAAGCATCAGATAATAAATATTTCTAAATGTGAGCCATAGATCTCTGACTTAACTACTCTACTCTGACACTATAGCAAGAAAGGAGCCACAGACAATACATAAATTAATGAGTGTGACTATGTTTCAAATAAAATTTTATGGGTATTGAAAATTTATATAAATTTTCATGTGTAATTAAATACTAGATTTTTTTTTTAAAAAAAAAAACCAAACTGGTAGTGCATCAGATTTGGTGGACAGGCCCTAATTTGCCTACCTTGGTCTACAGTTCTAAGAGTAGTTTAGAGCTTAAACTAAAGTTGTATGTATTTTAAAAATATTTCGAAGCAAGTCTGACAAAGTTTTACTAATCTTTATTTCAGTGACTTTCGGCAGCAAATTTATTAGTTTCCATTAATAATATATGCCCATAGTAACCTACACATGGCAATTTTATAGCTTCTCACATGCTTAGCATAAATTACAACCAAGTTTCCCATGTTTAAAACAGGTATTACAAATGCAACAACAATGTATGGACACATACTACAGTAAACGTGGCACACCAAATACCTCTAACAAAATGTCTATTTCATTCCTTTGTTGTAAGTGTGGCTTAGATATTACACGTTGTGTATTTAGTTGACATAAATTACTACAATTTCATTGTATTTAAATGTCAGGGTAAAGAGAATGTAAAAGAGTAAATGGTAATCTGGCATTCAAAAATTAAATATCATTATTTCTATATACACTTAATAAAATAGTTAAGATACCAGCTGGGCACGGTGGCTCACGCCTGTAATCCCAGCATTTTGGGAGGCCGAGACGGGTGGATATGAAGTCAGGAGATGGAGAGCATCCTGGCTAACACGGTGAAACCCCATCTCTACTAAAAATACAAAAAATTAGCCGGGCGTGGTGGCAGGCGCTTGCAGTACCAGCTACTCGGGAGGCTGAGGCAGGAAAATGGCATGAACCCGGGAGGCAGAGCTTGCAATGAGTTGAGATCGCGCCACTGCAGTCCAGCCTGGGTGACAGAGCAAGACTCCATCTCAAAAAAAAAGATACCATTTGAACTTAATTTCATAACGCTATCTGCATCTAATAACAATCCAATTTATCCTCCATTCACAGTGAGAAAACTGTTTTTCGTTTTCTGATTTATGAGAATTTGGCTTCATAATGGTGAAGTTGCCTCTGATATGTTCTCAACAAGAGCAACTTTTTTCCAAGAGCGGGGTCTACCACAATTAAGATCTTTTGCCACTAGGTTTCTAGTGGAAGCTCAGAAAAATTAAAGACAACAGTTCCCCCTTTTTTTCTTAAGACAGCATCTCCCTCTGCAACCCAGGCTGGAGTGCAGTGGCATGATCTTGGCTCACTGCAGCCTTGACCTCCCTGGCCGGATTCAAATGATCCTCTCACCTCAGCCTCCCAAGTGTCTGGAACTATAGGCATGTGCCATCACGCCCAGCTAATTTTTGTGTTTTTCATAGAGACAGGGTATCACCAATTTGAACTCCTGAGCTCAAGCGATCCACCCACTTCAGCCTCCCAAAAGTACTGAGATTACAGGCGTTTGCCACACTGCCCGGACAAAAACAGGATTTTAAAATTTAATTTAGAATCACAGATAGCTACTGTGTTGTTGGAAACCTAAGGTACTAAATAAAGGAGAACTCTGGTGAGTACTATTATGATATTCCTTCATTCACGTTAAGTGCCTGCAATGATAGGCACACCTGACACCTTTTACATATATCTCCACACAAGTTACAGAGATGCTGTAATTCAGGTATGCCCAACAACCTCTCCATCAAACATTTCCTAGCCCCTCATCTCCAGCCCATTTAATCATCCCTCCCTACATGCCCCTAAGGTAGGTAAGAAAGCATTCACTCAATACCTAAACAGTACATTACATAATTTATCGATACTCATTTTGTTTAAGCAGGGCAAATGCTTTGCATGAAGTCCTAGTCTACCAGAGACCATTTAGAGAAGGGTCATCAAATTAGAACCCGTGGGGCAAATAAGCCTGCCACCTATTTATGTACATACAGCTCATGAACTAAGGATGGTTTTCACATTTTTAATCGCTGAGGAAAAACTGTAAAGGATACTATTTAGTGACGCATAAAAATTATATGAAATTTAAGTTTCAGGGCCCATAAATAAAGTCTTATAGAAACACAGGCTTATTCATTTGTTATTGTCTATGACTATTTTCTCACTATGACTGCATGGCTCACAAGCCATTTTATTCAACAAGAACAAAAAAGGCTTGCCAACCCCAGACTTAGACCTTAATTTTAGCAAACACGGCAAACATACTAGATGACTTGTGTTTTTTTTTTTTTTTTTTTGCTTTTACAAAAAAAGGTTTAACAGAATAGTCTTTTAAAAAGGAAGTCTCTCTAGTTTTTTTTTTTTTTTTTAAATTATATATCACTTTTCAGGGATTTATCATATATACAAAAATTTAACAATTTTAAAACACAAGGTAAGGATTCCACTAGAGAGAAACGTGGCTCAACTTCCCACCAGCTTTCTTTTTCCCTTCTCTTGTATCCTCCTGCTCTTCATAATTCTCTGTTAAAAAACTTTTTTTCATTCCCTACATAGCTCATGACCCCAAGAGGCAATACGTATTTCTTTTACTAAAAAGAAGTGGATAAAATATCGCTCAGATTTCATCTACGAAGCAGGAGAACAAGGGACCATGTTTTTTTATTTTCTAATACCATATCACTGATAAAGGCAAAGTTTTAAATCAAAGCATCAGAAACTAAGAATAGAAGATATGGTTATTGTTCTTTTAACTTGTAATTTCTTCTAGGATACTTGTCACAATTTTTTTTTTACCCCAGGGAAATAAAGATAAATAGCTACAAAAAATAAATGTTAGTTATCTCAATAGTGTTTTCTACTTTTATGCACTCCTCCTTCCTCCTTTTCCATTCTGTAACTTCAGTGTTCCCCAAACCAATCTAATTTATCTAAGTGTATCAATATGGAAGACATAAATATTTTTGCATTTTTGGCACCCTATCACAACTAAATCCCAAAGGAAAGTCTACAAAAATCTAAGGTGGAAATTTAAGATTTTAAGAGAATCACAAAACCCCAAGAGTATGTAGGAATAAAGACAGCCCACATCCTTTGGTATACGACAAGTACAGGAATGAATGAGGAGCTCATTGGGCTCACCTACTGTTACACTTTTTATCTTCTGGATTAAGAAAAACATAAAATGAGACTTAAAGACAGGAAATGCTCAATTCATTAGAAATATCTAAAATCTTCATTGGTAAGACAGTATCAAGCTTGGAAATCCCACCCAGGTTAACAGCGGAGACAAATTAACAATATACACAACTTCTTGAAAACTGATACCTGCTTTAAATGTAGGAAAGTTTTAAAAATATCGATAAGGCAGAATAAGGATTTAATTATTTTTCAATCGGTAACACTTACCTTCTGTCTTTCCATTTTTCAACATATGTACTAGCCCAGAATTCTCCATTTCTACTATAGTCTTCATGTGCTTGGAAATGAGTTCCCTCTCAACTACCTTCACAATTGGTTCTTCCGTTGATTTGTCAAGGCAGTGCATCACTCGTTCTATCTCTTCATTAATTCTAGCTTCTACTTTCTTTATATATACTGAAGCACTATTTTCTGCTAAAAATTTCTGGCTTTCCATCTGCAATTTAAAAATGTAATTTTTTTAATATAGAAGAAAAAGGTGTTTTTGCTCTTAGCTGGGGTTTCTATAGTGTTTATAATAAATCAACCTAAGTAAAATAAGTACTAATAGGATTTTGTGTAATCTCTCATTACAAAGATTGATATAGTCTGAATTATATCCTTTAAAGCCTTTGGTGTTTACATAATACTAAATTAAAACATTTCCTGTAAACAATGTTTTTCAAACTGTGCCAATGCACTCCAAAAAATAGCCAAAAAAGTAAATATATATGCCAGCGAGGGTCAAAAATATAGAAGCATCTGACTCCAAGATAGAGTGGGATGTTCTTTTTAGATTTGTCTGAATGCAAAATTATAACCAGAAAGATTCATCATGTTTATCATACGCTTTGCTGGCATACTGCTGGTTACTAAAGTCTTCCTGCCATCCCACTCCCAGTCTCAACGGAGTAAACATATACACTAACGTTTGAGAAAAAGAGTTTTTAAATAACTAATAATCTTTTTATTTATTTATTTATTTATTTTGAGGTGGAGGAGTCTTGCTCTGCCACCCAGGCTTGAGTGCAGTGGCGCGATCTCAGCTCACTGCAAGCTCCGCCTCGGCATTCTTCGGCCTTAGCCTCCCGAGTAGCTGGGACTACAGGTGCCTGCCACCACGCCCCGCTAATTTTTTGTATTTTTAGTAGAGATGGGGTTTCACCGTGTTAGCCAGGATGGTCTTGATCTCCTGACATTGTGATCTGCCCGCCTCGGCCTCCCAAAGTGCTGGGGTTACAGGCGTGAGCCACCGCGCCCGGCCAACATTTTAGCTTCTTACTAATACATCTGTTTTGGCAACACTACAAAATTCCTACTGTTATGGAATGTTATGTTATGCTACGTTATGTTATGCTCAGATAGTTATGGTATTCAGGAAAAATGCCTGGTTACAGTTACCTTACAAATACTATCTTATGCTTACTGGTACTCAGTTATTATTATCATCATTTCATTACAAATTAGTACCAGTTTAGCTTTACTTTTAGCAATTTAGTTGGTTTGGACCACTGTTGCAAATTTCTATCAATAGTACTCACTGGCCTGTAACCTTTTAATCAACAACCTTTAAGGCAAATATGCACTACAGAATCATTCATATCCTTATGTGTGTTTTACTAGTAATTTAAGTGACTAAAAGCCTGCAGATGAGACTTTGTTGGTGATGTACTGCTGTGAATTTATGGTACTTAAATAATTCATAATATTAGATACAGTAAAATGTTAAGGATATTTCTAAGTTTACAGTTTTATAACATACAGTTGACCCTTGAACAACACAAGTTTGAACTGCACAGGTCCATGAAGTGGATTTTCTTCCTCCCCTGACACCTCTGAGACAGCAAGACCAAGCCTATCGTCTTACTATTCCTCAGCCTACTCAATGTGAAGACGAGGATGAAGACCTTGATGATCCACTTCCACTTAGTGAACAGTAAATTATAGTTTATCTTCTGTATAATGGTCTTAATAACACTTCCTTTTCTCTAGCTTACTTTTTTGTAAGAATCCAATATGCAATACATATATAAAATATATGCTAATCAACTGTTTATGTTATGTGTAAGGTTTTCATTCAACAGCACACTATTAGTTAAGTTTTTGGGGAGTCAAAAGTGTTATGTGGACTTTCGACCACACAGCAGGGTCAGCGTCCTTATGCCCCACACTGTTCAAGGATTATCTCTGTAATTTTAAAAACCATGTGTGTAAGTTCAAGCTCTCCAATTTGTTATCGATGAGTTGCTTAAGTGGAATGGTCAGAATGTGAGGTAGGTGTGCTGATGGGCATTTTTTGCATACGCCCCTCCCTCAATGGGCCGCAGTCAAAAAAGGTCAAAATAGTTCAATTAGTAACTAAATAACATTAAGAACATCTTAAAAGATTATTAACATTTTCACAGATTACCTGAAAAAATTCTGCAGACATTTCCAAAAAAGGAGCCTCAAAATCTTCTTCATAGACTGATCTTCCTTCGAGACCTAAAATCATTAACATCTGGCAAGCATTTCTTATTGCGCCTCTGTTGAAAAAAGTTGTATCACTTGATAATTAAATTACATTAAAAATTCACACAAAAATTACAAAAGTAGTAGGTAAAAGTATCTTCAGGACATTTAACTTCTATTGAAGTGACCAATCTCCCACAGGCCACTCATGTAAAACAAAAGGATTTAGCCTAATTTTAAGTTGGAAAGCATATCTTGACTCCACGGCTATTTATCTCAAGGTGTTCTTACTCTGTTACAACAAAATTTTTAAAGAAAATTAAAATGTCTAAATATTTCTATGTATTTGAAAACATAAGAGAGGTTGTTCATCCAGAAGGAAGGAGGGAGACAGGCATATTAAGCTGTACTGCCAGACATGGGTCCAATATATAGCTACTCCTGGGCAATATAACTTTTTGCACTAAATGGATTTTGGACAATCCTGATCAAGCACCAAAGCTGAAATAAAAAGAACTTTACACGTTTTCATCTAACAGCTCTTCTGAAAACAGATAAAGAGAGAAAAAAAATCTTGTATTTCAAGCCATTCTAGCTGCAGCATCACCAAAATGACACTGCCATCATTGTTATGAAGGGGGAGGAACTCTGATTTAAAAGGGGCACAGCAGTTCTTAGTCATTTTAGGCTATGTTCGACAGTTTTCTTCAAAAATGTTAGGAATGATGGACAGACAAAAGCCCTTAAAGAAAAAGATCAATAAAAAAAAATAAAAGTTATTATACAGAAAAAAAGAAACAAAATGCTGGCATGAAAAATAAATGAAAAGCCAAAAGTGATGACTAGCTGAAAAGCATATTAAATAAAAGTTTAGGATAGTCTCTTCTAAAAATATAAAAGATGTGTGCTTTCAAATTAAATTCTAGGTAACTGTTAACTCTGATACAAAGTTTCTGAGGATTTTCCCAATGTGCTGAACATTCAAACTTTTATTTATTTTAATAAAACTAAGACAGAGAATTGTTCTCAAAATATAATCACTAAAACCAAAACCACCAGAGTAAAGAGAAATTTTACCTGTCTACAACTTCTCCTTTCCGCTCTCTTGCAATCATATCCAACAGAGTTTGCCGTAGATGATCCCTAATACACCCATAACGTACAACTTGATCTCGAAAAATAATTAATCCCAAATTGTAGACATTCTCCACATTATTTTGTTGTACATATACACGGTCCTACAGTTAAAGTCATATAAATATGAGTACAATTCTTGTGAACATAATAATTATTGTGTGCTACAATAACAAATAAAGGAAATAAAACTCCAAAAGCAATCATTTTTCAGGTGAGAAACATTTCAAACGATCTTAAGTAATGTGGAACTTTCTAGCACCTCTCAAGTTATATAAAGTTAAGTTTTTACAACTGACAATGTATAAATGGTGGCCCATTTACCTTAAGAAAAAGGGGACAAAGGAAGCATCACAGTCAGAAACAAAAAAGCAAGTAAAAAAGGTAAACAGGCAGCACACTTTCTCCCCAAAGCCACAGCATATTCAAACAAGGTTCATTCTTAAATACTGTACTTGAAGAACATACTCTTGGAAGTAAAATTGAGAGCTGAATAAAGTACGGATTTATACAACTTAGACTGTTACTGATAAATATTGAAAGGCTCTAATGCATATAATAGAGCAGCATTAAGTATTACATAATTAAAACACCTCTACTTACTTGCACTTCAAACAGATTATACTTTCAAGTTCTTACCAACATGATTATAGATATCTCAGTTAATAGAGCACAGATAACCCAGAAGTGTTGGTTATAAAAGTTCGGTCTTGTGCATTCCCTGAAAATCCATATTGATAGCAAAACATACTGAAATAAAACTACTGTTTAATTCCCTTCTCATCTCAACAAGGATCTCTCTGGGCTTTCGTGGGTCTGTAAGTCTTCTAAAATTATTAAGTTATTACATGTTTGTTCACGCTTAAGTACTTTGGAAAGAAAGCCCATAACTTTCACCAGATTCTTGAACATGCATCTATAGGTTATAGCTAACGGTAAGGTGAACATGAAGAGAGCTCTACCATATTAACAATGTAACCCGAATATTATTAATCAGCTTTCCAAACTTCTTTTTTTTTTTTTTGAGATGGAGTCTCATTCACTCTGCTGTCTGGGCTGGAGTGTAATGGTGCCATCTTGGCTCACTGCAACCTCTTCCTCCCGGGTTCAAGCAATTCTCCTGCCTCAGCCTTCTGAGTAGTTGACATTACAGACATATACCACCATGCCTGGCTAATTTATTTTTTTGTGGAGTCGGGGTTTCACCAGTTGGCCAGGCAGGTCTTGAGAGTCCTGACCTCAAGTGATCTGCCCACCTTGGCCTCCCAAAGTGCTGGGATTACAGGCGTGAGCCACCATGCCCGGCCCCAAACAATTTTAATTAAATTCTCTACATGCAGTCCTTGCTTCCTATGACATCATTCCTCCAACCTTCTCCTTTCGTTCATCTTGTATGATGGTATACACCTAATAACAAGGAAAGCTATTTTTTATATTATCTTCTTTAGTGCTCACATTTCTACATTCTATATAATCTCAGCACGAGCTCACAGTTTTCAAATCTTAACATCAGTTTTCATGAGTTCAAAATTTTCATTGATGACTTCGAAGTTTTTGGACTTCACACTTCCATCCTCCAGATCTTAAATTCAAAGTTTCCCTCTGACCACATCCCTCTTTTTTTTTTTTTTTTTCCGGATACGGGGTCTCGCTCTGCCACCAGGCTGGAGTGCAGTGGTGCGACCTTGGCTCACTGCGACCTCCACCTCCTGTTTTAAGCAATCCTCCTGCCTGAGCCTCCTGAGTACGTAGGACTACAGGTGCCTGCCACCACGCCCAGCTAATTTTTGTATGTAGACACAGGGTTTCACCAGGTTGGCCAGGATGGTTTTGATCTCTTGACCTTGTAATCCGCCCACCTTGGCCTCCCAAACTGCTGGGATTACAGGCATAAGCCAGCGAGCCCAGCCTCCTTCCTTTCTTTTGATGGCTACTATTCTTTTTTTAGTACTCTGTTGCCAGCCTGGAGTGCAGTGGTGTGTTCTCAGCTCACTGCAATCTCTGCCTCCCAGGTTCAAGCGATTCTCCTGCCTCAGTCTCCCAAGTAGCTGAGATTACAGGCACCCGCCACCATGCCCTGCTAATTTTTGTATTTTTAGTAGAGATGAGGTTTCACCATGTTGGCCAGGATGGTCTCGATCTCCTGACCTCGTGATCCATCACCTGTAAACCTCCTCTTTCATCTCATAAGACCTCCAGGCCCAACCTTTCCCTACTGTCATGGTAATTGTGTTTTACTTCTCAGCACAGAATATGTACATAATAAAAACTAGCATAAATAATTCAAAAAGCAACAAGAATCCCTTTTATTATAAAAATAATCACTATTACTGCTTAAATTATTTTACAAATTTGATTTTTCTAAGTTCTACATATAAGTATATATTGTACAGAAAAGCACCAGAGACAGGAGAATACCTTTTAACCAATGTGATCAAAACCACTATCTGAATGGTTAAAGACAGCTAGTAAAAACAGTAAAACTATTATAACATATACAAACACTTGCATCTTAAACATTTTAATTTAAAAATATAAACGTTCATTCAGACATCAGGACTTTCTCTGAAAAATAAGTCCTGTGACTGAAGTTCAAGATTGTATACGTACAGGCCAGGTGGGGTGGCTAACGCCTATAATCCCAGCACTCTGGGAGGCTGAAGCACTGGGATTACTTGAAGTCAGGAGTTTGAGACTAGCCTGGCCAATATGGTAAAACTATGTCTCTACTAAAAATACCAAAAGCTGGACGTGGTGGTGCGCGCCTGTAGTCCCAGCTACTCGGGAGGCTGAGGCAGGAGAATCAGTTCAACACAGCAGGAGGAGGCTGCAGTAAGCCGAGACTGTGCCACTGTACTCCAGCCTGGGTGACAGAGCAAGACCCCATTTTGAAGATAAAATAAAATAAAATAAAATAAATAGTGTGCTTATAAACACTCACACATAATAAATTGTATAGCACTCCTAGTTCAGTTTCATTAAGGTGAAGCATGAACTAGAGGCATTTATGAAGTAATCTCAATGTAAAATCCTTCTAGAGTTACTGTTTTCACTCCAATGTCTTAAATTACCTACATTTAATTCAAACCAGTATGTAGCCATTTGCTTTTATGAAGTCTTTACAAAGCATTCAACCTAGCTTGCCAAAGTTTTATTTTTTCACAAGATTTTATCAATTTACACAATATTAAATTATATATTAATAGTAAGAAGTACAATTCAAATACACAGGTTTGAAAAATACCACACAACTTCAATAAGGACAAAGTTAAACTGGTAAGTGAAGAATATGGAAGATTATACTGGAAAAGTAGCCTAACAGTAGTAAGAGAACCCTTCATCAGGATTTGCAGCTAGAATAGAAAGTACTGCAATTCTGACAATTCCTTTGTTCACTCCTGCTTTCAGTCTCTATAAATTTCCTTTTCTGGTCATTTCATAGAATTATCCTGTAATACGTAATCTTTCGTGTCTGATTTCCTTCACTAAGAATAAAGTTTATAAGGCTTATTAATGTTGTAACATATAACAGTATTTCCTTCTTTTTAGGGCTAAACAGCACTCCACTGCATGGACATACTACATTTTGCTTATCTATCAGCTGACGGATATTTTGGGTTATTTCCATTTTTTGTCTATTATGATTAATGTGGCTATAAATATTTGGGTACAATATTTTTGTGGACATATGCTTTCATTTTTCTTGGGTGGATTCTAAGAGAGGAATTACTGGACTGTATGGAAATTATCAAACTTTTCTAAAGGTGATCTAACAGTTATGGTAAATTTTTTAATACAAAACCTCTAATAATAATAACATTTGATGTGAAGTTAGGAATTCTTTATATGATCCTGGCTCTATTGTTAACTGGCTATGTGACCTTAAGTAAGTCACTTATTCATTGTGGCCCTCAGTAAAACAAAGTGCTGGTAAAGATACTCTCTAAAACATTAATATATTTCCTATGAAGCTTAATCCTCTCACCAAAAAATAACATACATGCAGGATCAAATACAAATACACTTCACTACTTCTTCCCTTTCTATTTGTTATCGGTCTCCCATGGCTTGGATTTCCCCCGTCCCAACTTTAAGCGCAGTGATGGTATCACTACTAAAGGAGGTAAATCTATTACCTGATGGCCTATTATGTCTGCTATCTTAAGCCCTCTGGCAAAAAGGCAGAAAGACACCAGTCACAACTGATAAATTCTTCAGGTATGCTGTGTATAGAGGAAAATGATGCTTCAGTAAAGGAAGCCAAGGCATGAGATGAGAACACATACAGTTTTGTGCACTCCAATCCAAAAATCTGAAATCTAAAATTCTCCAAACTCTGAAACTCTGAGCATCAACATGATGCCACAAGTAAATTCCACAACTGACCTCATGCATCAGGTTGCGGCCAAAACTTTATTTCATGTACAAATTACTTAAAATATTGTATAAAATTACGTTTGGGCTATGTATATAAGGTGTATACAAAACAGAAATGATTTTTATGTTTAGCACATGGGTTCCATCCCTACAATCTCTCATGTATATGCAAATATTCCAAAATCCCCCCAAAATGAGAAATCTGAAAACACTTATGGTCACAAGCATTTTGGATATGAGATAAAATCAACCTGAAGCTGGAAGGTGCAGGCAGAACATACAATGTTTAAAGCCATAGGATACCGTGGTATAAGAGCTAAGCCTTTGTCTTTCAACTTGAGACAGTCAAGATGTGTGTGATTATAATTAAATGACACATAATATTAAGAAAAACTTGATAACTCTAAAATTTCATTAAAGATAACAAAGAGCTAATAAATGGAGAAGAAACACAGAAACTTAAGTCTGGCTCTATAAAACTATTAATAGTAATACTAAATAACCATTTATATTAAATGTCTGACACATATGATTAATTACCATCAAGTACAATTAAGGGTACAGATGCGTAACCCTTGAGTATTTATGTGTGCATATGTTAAAGAGAAATGTAGACATATATTCACAGTAAACTTGTGATATGCACATGATATGATTCTAGTATCATTTAAATTCTTGTGAGGTTTTAATTTTTATGTGTCTATTTTTAAAGATTTTTTAAAAGCCC